TATTTTTAAGAAAAGAGAGATTCACTCATCTGAAAAATGTCCATGAACTAAATTTTTAAAAATAGGGTTTGCAATTTAAGGAAAAAAAAAAAAATCCCAAATGCCAATCTTATCTGCACCTGAATTCACCTAAGAGGAGCTAGCTACCATTTACAGAACCACTGTACAGTAGAGTGCTTCCTTGGATACTCCATGGGAATACTGAGATGTGGCTTTAAAATACACTCTACTCAGTTCTGAGTAAGGAGTTGAATCAACATAACCATTATCAATTTTCCAACTCATAAAGTATAGAGTAGTCTTAGGTATTCTCTACTATTGAAACTGTTCCCTTTTGTATAAACTATTTAAATATTAATTAGATTGATATTTAAACTCATGTTTCCATATCCCATATGTATGCCCACTGGGCTTTCAGGATCACAATTCTGCCTCCGGCTCTGCTTGCTGAAAAGAGTCCTAAACCCATTTGCCAGGAAATTATAATTTAGCCAATAGTGTCTTATATAGACCCTTTTAACTTACCCTTCACAAAAAGGTGCACTTAACTGTTCATTCTTATAATCTTAAAAAAGGTTCCTACCACTTAATCACAAAGCAAAACAAAAAGTTCTTTTTTACAGAATGACAATGTAAAGTTATGGGCTAGTTAATTTATCAGCTGCTTTGTTTGGCTGGAGCAACTGAACGTGGAATAGATCAGTTTCTTCCCATGTCCTTACTTTGTTAATTTGTTCTGTTTTGCATGCCAGTGTCCACAGTATAAATTTGTTGCCCTGTATGTTTACATTATTCCTTTCAAGTCTCAAATTTTATTGTACAAAAATACCACCTTTGCATTCAAAACATTACCTACTCATAAGGTTGTAGAACAAAGTTTAAAGATGCAACAGATCCTCAGAAACCATGGGCAAATAAAGAGTTCAGTAAGGTAGCATTATTTTTAAACCAGGTGGAAGATATTTTAAAATGTGAGATTAGTCATATTTCATTCCCCTGAACAAATACTTCCAAATTCTCCATTCCTTCTGACTTGTTCTGCATTATTCATACTTACTTCCTCTTGCCTCATTAGCTTCTAAGCCTCCTTAGTTAAGTTGATCTAGTGTGATGATGAAACTTTAAAAGAAGCATTTGTTATTTTGATCTTATTTTTTGACATTTGGAATTTGTTACGAAAAATTACTCCTTTCAAAACCCACCTCTGGCTGCTTTTGCTGAAAGTGTTAAAAAAAGCCTTAAAAAAACCTGATGCAAACAGGTCATTTATTCCATTCTACTGAGACCAGGGAAACCTGTCCTAACACTGATCACAAATTGCAGGTGGCTTGTGGCACCAATGCTTCTGAGAACACAGAAGAAGATAAGATAAGGTAAGATCATAAGATCCATAAGTCCTATAAGATAATAGCTATTTTGAAAGAAGTACCACAGAATTCTTCAGATAAATTATGGCTTCTTTTAGTCAAGAGGAATTTGGAAAGAATAATAGGAGGAAAAAATGCACTAATGTAATGGGGTTATGATTATCTAAAATACATATTTAAGAGATCTCTTAATTTAAGTTAGCATAGTTAAATTATTCCAATTGATTTTAACAATGTGAGAAATTTGAAACTCATTTTTATTCTGCTACTCAAACTGTTGGAACACAAGGCCTCATACTGCATGGAACATTTCCAAAAGGAATTTTTAAGAAATTCTACACTATGAGATTAGTTTAAATTAGTTTCCATTAAAATTGTTCTGTACTCCAAGCATAAATGCTGAAATTTTGGGAAGAAAATACTGAAAATACTATTAAAATGCTCTAAATGCCTCCATAATAATGAAATTTCCTTTAGCTTTCTGCTTCAAAGTCATGGGAGTGAGTAATGAAGCTTCTCCAGCACTTCAACTGAAGTCCCATTAGGCCCCCTCAATATAAAAAAAAAAATCAGTTAGAATACAAGTCAGTTCTATCTCACCTTCAGAGAAAGATTTAAAATATAAAACAAACATATTCAAATTCAGCAATTCTTGGCCTCTCTATGAGGCCGTAACTACATGTGAGACATCACAGGCAGGTGAGTTGGGAGACTGATGATGGCAATTTAAATCTCACTATTGCAAACTCTGACACAAAGGTAGAGGCGAAAGTAAAAGATTACACATGGATTTTTCATCATTGTCTAAAATGACTCCTGCTGGGAAGTATTAGTATTTTTTCCTGTGACTCAGCCATGACATTTGAATTGCTAGAGGATCAGAGAACAGCTTTTAATCCTGTATGTAGGCTCTGCAGCTGGGCAGCTCCTTTAACTGAAGGATATAGAAAGCTATGAAGGCAAGGATAGCATTTTCTTTCTGTGCCCCAAATTTGTCCGCACATGCAGACAGGTGTTACTGAAACCGGTCCACTTGGTCATGAAGCTCTACTTTACAAAGCATAAGGCAAAGAAGCGTATACAGAAATAATTTGTTTAAATAACTCTCTGTTCTGACGCTAATTGACAGTAGCACCCAAGGCGTGAACCGGTTATTATTAGCATTTTTAACAGCACTGAAAGACCAACATGCTTCGTAAGCCCAGTAGGATTCACACGATCATATTCTGAATAGCTACAGAGCCTGCGATTTCGGTGTCTCAAATGAATAGCAGACGTCTAGGGGAAAGAACTTTTTAAGGGACCACCCCTTTTCTTCCTAAAGATAAAGCCTTATCTCCAGCAATTGAAGAGCCTGACTGCTCTGGCTCTGTTGCAGTTCTCTCGTGGCTGTCGGTGCAGGTGCCCTGTACAGCCCCAGTGTACACAGCCACCCCTCTCTGCTCACAAAGCTGCAGCCTGCCTTCAGCGTTTCCTGCGCCCTCCCCCAGCCCAGGCGCTGTTCCCACCTCTGCGCCTCTCTTTGCTGCCTCTTCAGCTGCGCTCATTCAACTCTTTGTGGGCCACATCATAAGCCAAATGGCTGAGATGATCCAGCTTTAAAAAGACAAAACAAAACAAAATCAAAAATCAAACAACAACAAAACCACAAAACACAAACAAACGAACCAAAAAAAACCCAAAAGCACAGCACAAAACTACTCGCGCACACAACACGCACAGAAAAACTCAGATGTTTCACTGATCCAAGTTACAACTCAACCCACGAACAGCTGCACTCCCACAATCACGGGGACAGCGAGCCCCGATGAGGGAGCAAGAACAAGAGGGCAGAGCAGGCAGGAAACAGCCGGACTTAAAGTGGCTTTTCCACTGGAAAAAGCCCCGCTGTACAGCCAGAGGCGGAGAGCTGAAGGCTCCTTGGGCAGCAGGGCAGAGCAGAGCGGGCAGGAATTGTGTCCAGCCGGCAGGGAGCTGCTCCCCTGGCAGCAGGGCAGAGCAGAGCGGGCAGGAATTGTGTCCAGCCGGCAGGGAGCTGCTCCCCGGGCAGCAGGGCAGAGCAGAGCGGGCAGGAATTGTGTCCCGGCTGGCAGGGAGCTGCTCCCCTGGCAGCAGGGCAGAGCAGAGCAGGCAGGAATTGTGTCCAGCCGGCAGGGAGCTGCTCCCCTGGCAGCAGGGCAGAGCAGAGCGGGCAGGAATTGTGTCCAGCCGGCAGGGAGCTGCTCCCTTGGCAGCAGGGCAGAGCAGAGCAGGCAGGAATTGTGTCCCGCCGGCAGGAACGCCGCAGCCGCGCACCGGAAGAGAAGGCTCCGCTGCCGAAGCGGAGGGGCGGCAGCGGCGCTGCTCCGGGCGCTGCCGCAGTGCTCCATCCCCACAGGCGAGCGGCCTGGCTATTGCCTTTTTAAGGGATTTTTTTTTTTTTCTAAAGTCAGATCATTTTGCAGATGCGGTTTAGCGTTTAGCCACGCGATCAGGCGAATGGAATGGAGACCGAGAGAAGATGACATCCAGCGTGGCAGTGGGAAAAGAAGGACGGTGGGGACAGGACCACTCTATAGCAACCCTGCCCACTGAAAGATTTGTAAGGAATATGCCATTTGTGTACACCAGCTGTTACCTTAGGTCAGACATAAGTCAAAGTAATGAGAAAGAAATGTGGGAATGGGAAGAGAAGCAAAAGCTAAAGAGCTAAAAACAGAAAGCAATTGCAGTCCATCAGACATGAAAGAATATTATTTAGGAAATAGCCCATTTGTGCCTGGTCTTGCCAGCTCAGTCGTCTCTTTTAGCTACATTGCTCTTTTTTTTTTTAATTTTTCTTCATGTTACATCATTAGTGCCAAAACCCAATAGTGCCTGCTGAGCATGCCATACATTTGATGCTGTTTTCCAAACTCAAAAACCTACCTGAAGCCACATTACCATCAGACAAGATATGGTAATACACTCAGATCATCTTCATACGAGCCATATCCTTAGGAGCCGTGACAATAGCCTGTCATCAAATTTTAATATATATTTTTCTGAAGAAGAACATCAAGATGGGGAAGCACTCTCGGGGAGAAGTTTTGGAGGCACAATAATTAAAAGATAGAACAAAATCAGTGATTAGAAGGCTAATGGCATATTTTTAAACAATGTATTCTTGACATCTTTCAAAATTATCTGTGGCTAAAATCGCAAGTGGATGACTAGCAGTGTTAATTTTGTTATTACTATTCCAAGAATGACATGCTGATGGTCTATTCACATATGGAGATGCTCAGCATATGCAAGCTGAAAACCTCTAGACAACTTTTAGAAATATGTACAGCTATTTTGAAAGTTGTATCCAGGGAATTTTATTCTAGTGGCCCAGAATGGGAGCTCTAAATGCATGGACAAGATACAGAGAGAGGCAGATGTAAAGATGATGTTTGGATGAATATAATTTCCATAGTTCGTATCCAGTAAGAATGCTGGAAGTTAGGGATTCTCAAAACTTCAAAACTGCATTACATTCTTAAGACATTTGTATCAATCCCCTCAACAACAAAAAAAAAACAAAAAAAAAAAAAAGCAAAATAAGAGACATTATTTTAAAGTATTGAAGTTTTCAAAGTATTTTTAATCTGTTCTGCATTGAGTATTGAAGATTGATGGAGCTTGCTCATAATAGGATTTTTTCTAATTATGTTTGACACATTAAGTGTTGCTTAGCAGTGTATTATTACTTGTATTCAATGAAGCAATTAGCATTTATTTTTCATTTCAAGTAAATTTTCCTAAAAGTATTTTGTAATATTTTTCAAAATTAATTCACCACCAGGGGGCAAAGAACTATTTCTCCGGAGGGAACGTTTTTATATTGGTTTCATAGATGAGTGACCCTTTCAAGGTCCTTTTCTACTTCACAGTAATTGCAGATGTGATTAAAAACAAAAAGTGTGCAGACCTAAAAATACATCAGAGGGATCTTTACCATTTTTGCCAACTTTGACTGCTCTAAGGTTAAGATAATTGTTGGCAGAGAGAGCAAGCTGGAAGACCAGAAGAGGTGCTACAAGATGGCTGTGGCGTGAGCGCTGCTCTGTGCGCGCGGCTGTTCCACACCTCTGTCAGGAACACGCGGTGCTGTGGCTTGTGCAGAAAGAAATTACAACCATCTGGGCATTAAACCAGGTAACAAACAGCTCAGTATTGTAACAGTATTGGAACACTTACCACAGAATCATAGAATCATTCTATTTCAGCTGATTTTAATTCCCTTCTCAATTCTGTCAGTGCTGTTTTGTTTCTGCTTGGTCCCTCCTATTTGTTGCTTTGCCAGAGATGAGCTGATGTTTGGAATAATTAAAAATAGAATTTGATTTTGCAAATGTAAAAACCATTTTAAATATCACCAGGAAGGTGAAGATCATACAATTCCACTTGTCAGTACATAACACTCATTTCCCATTTATTAATGTAGTAGGTACATATGTTAGTGCCATTTGCTAAGGCACCCTCCCAGGAAAGGAACTAGCACCATAAAATATTGGAGAAGAAAGAGAAAAAAGAAAAAGAATCTAGTAAATCCAAAATCAAAAACACATCACCATAAAATAAACTAGTATGGCCATGTATAGAGAGACTGTGTAACTAGCATCACAACATGCCAACAGTGTAATAGAAGAGCCTGTTACAGCAAACACATGTAGGAATTAATCATGGACAGCATTTGGTTTGTGGGATATCTTTTCAATAAAATGATTGAGCCCATTTGGAGAGGAAACTGAAAGCTGTGATGGATGAACATAGAATACACTATTTACTCAAAACTGCTGTTTCCTTACCATAGGGTTTTTTAGGTGGTAGATTGCTGTCCTGTTCAAAATTGAGGATGATAATTTGAAATTTGCTCAGGATGTTCAAAATATTTTCTTAATAAAATAAAGTTAAGTATCAAGATAGTTTTCACCTTTCAGGATTGCATTAACAAAGTAGTCGTACTCTGATTACACAGTGCAAAACCAGCAGAACTAACTAGATATAGGAAGACCATTAATATGATGTATGTGTACAAGTGTCTTTCTAAGAAAAAGCCTATTAAAATTCTTCAAATTCCCCTTTAAATTTAACAATGCACTTAATTGTGACTGAAAAAAAATCTATTGAATTCTCAGTCACAAAATACCAGTATATACAGATACAGAAAAGTAATTCCTAGGAAGACCAGTCTGGATTGAATAATCACAACGACACAGCAGAAAAAGTACATTGGTAGAAACCAATATAAAGAAATGAGGTTTGATTATTCCATGGTTATATTTACCAAAGAGCTGCTTTGAAATCCTGCCCACAGCTACAAATGCAAACACATATCTGCTAAAATAAGGCATTAAAATGTCTGATACAGCTTTTCTAACATTTGTATCCTGTCAACTAAAGATATATTTACTTCATGATTCACTTGCTTTTAAAAAATTAAAAGTTCAGTATTAAACATGTCACAGCATCTTGCTGGTGGTGGATTATATTTGTGATTTCTTCAAGTCACATAAATGGCCAAAATCCTTCCTCTGCCTGCACAGTTGTGATTTCCATTTGCTCTCAAGGAATATATTTCCGAAAATAGAGCAGGGCATGTAACTCTTATTACAAAACATTATTTTCAGAAAAACAAATTCATGTTCAAAGCACTTTCTTTGCCAAAATTCTGCAATGTAATTTCTCACAAAATCCCATTAGCCAATACAATCTCTCTAGTAAGTAGTCTTTAACAGAGCTTTAACAGCTCTCACCCACATGGGGATTTTGTTGTCCTTGTTGTGACTAGATTTTGCTGTGGTATGAGTTTTACTCACTACATCACAGACTAAAACAACAGGAAAGTAAAAATAAAGATTTCTCATACCAAGAACCTGTCATTGAAGATAACAGGTGCCCTAAACATGGAGAACCCAGATGGTCCAGACCTGATGAGAAGTGGCTCATTTCTGGAGCTCTCTTGAAACAACATATTTTTAGATAAAGCAGTACTGCTGCTAATAGTAATTTACAATCTCCTTAAACATTTTTTTCTTAAAATTTTTGACTTTTAAATTCTCAAACCTAAATAACTGAACTTCTCTCATTGCTTACTTTTTTTCAGAATCACTGCAGTCAGGTAGAAATATTTCATGCTTTGTCTGTGCCCTTTAATCACTTTTTCTTCCTCTTCTATTTGCATTCTCTTTCATCTCCCCTGTATGTACTGTATTGTGCTAGCAAATAAATATTAAATATGTTGTACTCATTTAGGTCTTAAATAGGCATTCAACTCACATAGCAAATACTTCTGTGGGCAAACATTAGACAAGGAATATGTAATATAGAGTGTTATTTAGCAAAATATTTTTAATGGATTCTATCAGGTGAGAGGTATAAATATTGACTTCTCCTCCATGTGGCATGTACAGAAAGAAATCACTTAGTGGATGTCCTTGGTATATATTCCTGGTCACTGGTAGGTTGAGGAGGTGTCTTGCAGAGCACAGAGTAGGAAGGTACATGGAGGTATTATCTGGATCTGCTTTTCGTAAGTAGTACTAATTAGTCATATCTTCAAACAAAGTATCAAAAAGTTACAAGACAAAAAACCCCCTATTTAGCAGCTTGCCAATAATATGGTGATCCTCCCAACATCAAATCTATGAAAACTGGGAAAAGCAACCACCCTTAATAGCTGTGCTAATGGAAGTGGTTAGTAAAATTCAGATCCACTAATTTGTATCCCATGTGTTGCAGAGGCCAAACAAACAATCTCTCTCCTTTCTTGACCCATAATGCAAGCTTCAAAACTCTCTTCTATCCTGCAAATAAAAAGGAATTTGATGTCCCCTGCACATCTGTAGGATATCCTTGAATATAAATACTAATGTCAAAGAACAGCCCACTTGTCCTTATTCCACTTATTCCTGATTTGCTTTTATAGTCAAATTATATTTTTCACCTTTTCTTTTGTTGCAAAATATTCTTTAAAACAGAAAATAAACACCAGGCTAGTGGAATTTTAATCAGTGCTAGATCCAAGTGCTGTTACCTCTGTCTACAGGCCAGCCAAGGGCTCCATTATATCACTTAAGCACCATTTAAGCTGAGTTGGTGATTTATTCTTGCAGCACGTTAGAGGAAAGGGCAGAAGGAATTCTCCCCGCAGGACCAGCTTGCATTGCATGTCAATGACAGATCATTTATGCCACGAGGAATCAGCCACTGCAGTCCTATGGAACCCAGGGCTGGAGATGGTCAGTGTAAAGCCAGGAGGGTCCCAGCTGACAGCAGTGCATGTGCACACTGTGCAGGCACTGCAAATCAAACACGTGGCAGGTGAAGCCATAAACTGAGGTGCTGTGCTGGGGCTGATTGTACTTGGCCATCATACAAGGTGCAGAACTATTATGGATGCTCTGTGTTCCTATGGATACTCTGTGTTCCAAGTGTTATAGATAAAAAATTAATCCAGCTGAATTTAAAAGAAATTTATTTTAATTAGCAATTGAAATCTATCTGAGCCTGCCACAAAGAAAAAGGCAGTGCTGAGCCTGGGATCAGCACTGGGAGAGACCCAGGTCTGACTGCTACAGCAGAGGGTCCCCCTGTGTTTCACACCAAACGTCCTGCGCCAGTGATTTTTATACAGTTTATTTTGCTCGAGGCCAGGATTTTGGTGATCAGCCTTTTCTTTCCATTCAAAGTCCCACATATCCATAAAGTCTCTTTTCTCTGAATTGAACAATCCGGTGTCCGGGAAGCAATGTACATCCTTGATGGAGTTATGGAAACACGGTATTGAGATGTATCCTTCTGGATACCTTAATAAATATAATTCTACAGTACAAATTATCCATATTACACATAACACAAGGGATGTCTGTCAGTCCTGGCTAAGGAAAGGCAAGGCACCTGTCCTTCCCTGCACTGTGTAGTATGTTTGTTGGCGGGGAGCTCCTGAGAGCACAGGAACTGCCATTCTGCCTGTCCTTCAGCCTTAGGAACCACCAGCAGTTCTCTACAGCCATGCAGCCCCTTCCTGCTGCTTTGTACAGCCTTTTCTCTCCCACTCCCATCCATACCAGGCTCTCTGTGTTCCCATGCTGCTGCTCCAGCCTCTGCTCTAGCATCTGTGCCAGCCTCAGCCTTGGCTATGGACAAAGGACCTGAGCATATCTGTCCTCCACTGGCACATACACTGCAGAGTGACACCCAGAGCTGGGGCCTCTCTTGCTCACTCCTGTTATGTGCCAACAGCCACTCCTGTTGACTTTTCCGGGAGAAAAAAATAATGATTTAGACCATGCAGCTTGGGAACAAGTATTAGGTAAGTGTCCCAAGGCTAGTCATAATGGATGAGTTCTAGCCAAAAGTCATATATTCCAACTTTCCCAACTTTCCTTTAACAAGTTACCTTTTTCTTTAAAGGACTTTGAGGCAAACTCAGCCTATTCTGTCAGCAGATCCAACTGAGAATGGATCAAGTACTCTGGACATCAAAAACAGGCCAAAACAAGTCAGTGGAGCAGGAGATGCATCTGTGACCATCTGCCCTCTGAAGACCTGACAGGCAACAAAGAGCCCTCTGAATGCTGTAGCTCCTGGCAGGAAAAGGAAGAAACCTGTCCTTGTATTTTTCTGAAATTTAACATGGAAGAATGCAGTACATTGAAACACAAAAGGTAAAAATTAATTAGGTTTTCTGCTTAAAAAGACTAACTGTGGGGATTTCTCATCTCTGTTTTGATTTTGAATAATTTTTACTTACCCCTTTGAGTACATATGTGGTTGTTAGTGTTGTCTAGTTTCTCAGGAGTATTAAAAAATGTAACCTAGACCTTTCTACAATTACAAGCAAGCGAACTTGCCACAGCTGTGTGCTGTGTTCAGGCCCAGTAGCAAACTCTGTCCCTATTCTCCACACTGCTTTTCTTGTTCCCACTGGGCATAGGACTAAAATTCACCAAAATGACAGTACCTCCACAACTACAGTACTTCCTGCTGTGCCAAAATCCCATAATCTCTGCAGTCATTTTAAAATACAGGAATATTGAAAACAATCCTGAAAGAGGTACAAGTGCTGCAATAGGTCCCTCCTGAGCTGGAATTTCTCTGTGTCTTTATAGAAAATGTTAAATACTGTTGTAATCAGAAACCTACTGCTGTTGTTGCTCCATGGCTCACTATAGCCTGTTAATTTACATTAAGAAACATATTTGTCTTATGGAAAATAATATTCAGTGAACATTAACAATAATATGTACAGGACAACACCATATACAGACACCCCATATCCTCCATATTAAGGACTGTACAAAATAGCAATGGCAGTCAAAATAAACTGTAAAATGGTGATCATGATGCTCTCCTGGCTATTATTTAATTATTCCTCAATTATTGTGTTGTTGATTCTTTCACTCTTTTACCCATATTTTTGAAGGCTGCCTCCTGAAACTGCACCCCACTCCAGAAAATCTTGGATATGTCATCAATCTACATGCCTCTTAATACAGTGATCTCAGCCTAAAAGGAAAGGAATCAGACTGGTCAGTTTAAATGTCTAAATTGCCTTTAGCCATCAGCTCTCTCAGCCAGAGAGCTGCAATTACCATGAAACACCCAGGGAGGCACTTACCATTGTTGCTTTCTTTTTGTACTAGTCTGTTACATTTGGAGTTATGACAGATTATACTACAGTTACCATAAAGTAGCATTTCCCAAGTGAAAAGACTCTTCACACACTATTGTCTTTCTTTCTGTTTTCATTTTTGCCAGTAAGAGACAAAAACATTTGTTAGAAGGAGAAAGAAGCACCATAAAGATTTATTTTGGAAAGCGGATTTTGTAACTGAGGAATAAGCAAATTGGATTTTACTGTTTTCTGGTTACATTTTGCCTTTTCACAGTAAGTAAAACAAAATGGTGGTTTCTCAGCTATTATGATTTTAGAAATACAGTATTTAATTAAATCTTTTTATAGCAATGTGTTGTACCTGCACTCTTTGTGTTTCTTGTAGATCTGAGGCTTGCCAAGTTTCACTCAATTAGAAAGAGATCAGTCATTCCAGAACTGAAAGCAGTTTTCTGGAATATCTCCATAAAAAACAACATTGAATAACTTAACTGGATGTAAGAACTTCTAAGTAGTAAGGCATTACAAGCCAATTGTTAATCTTGGTCTTTTATAAATATACCATTTCATTCCTTCCTCATTTAACTTCAGAGACAGTCTTAAGTACATAACACCTCTGAACATTAAATAACACTCACAGTAAAAGGCACTTTAAGAAGAATTTTGGTCTGAATTAGCTTTTCCTACACTCAGTCAGTGCTGAAAACCTGATGGAGTAAAGCATACAGATCTTTCCCCAGCATTAGTTTCTCTTTAGTTATGATAATGATTTATTGTACCTCTGAGTCCTGATTCAGGCCTCATAGCAAGTAAAGGATATCTTAGAGAAACCAGTAAAAACTGCACTATGCATCTAACTTTTCAGAAAAACCCTAGAGAACTGAGCAAAGCAAGACAACTTTTTTTTTTTTTCTATTTCTGAGAAGATTAAAAAGTGGCCTAAAACATTCTGAGGCTCAGATGCACCAGATAGACCAGCCTATGTGCAGATGAGAAAGAGCAAGACTGCTGTTACACAGCACTAAATAAATGAAGAGTTTTCTTCAGTTACAGAAAGGTAAAGTTGCAGAGGGATCAGTTTCCTCTAAGAAATCAAAAAGGGGATGATGCTTTATATGTATTAAACTGTAAATCCATAAAGAGAAGCAATTGTGAAATAAAACTGAAGGCTCTATAGAGAAGTCCACAAAATACAGAGTAGATTTGCAAGAAGTCACAGAGAAGACTGCACAAAGGATTGAAACAAAATATAGACCAAAGCAGCCTCTGGGCAAATCCATTATATTTAATTTTATATTGTACAGTAAAACAATTCTGCAAAATCTGTGGATAACAGCTGAGGAGAGGAAAAGAAGAGCTAGAAGGAATCAATTGTAGCAGAAATTTTGCAAGAGCAAAGACTGTATTATCACTTCGGATATGAAAAGGCTACATATCATTTACATTTGGACCCCATACACAAGCTATACTATATTTGAAGTCCCAGAGATACTTTTGAAATGAAATTCTAATTATATTGAGTACAAACAAGCAAAACTCATGTCATAGGAGTTGTGCTGTGGGGAATGTGAACTGCAAGTCTAGGCAAGACAAAATTTAGAAAATCTAATACTTGCAGTGGTTTCAAAAATGAAACACTGTATCTTTTTTAGGACTGGAAATGTCAGATACTATATGATAATGCAAATTATGAAGAAAATCACAAGTCCAGAAAGCAAAAACATAAAGTGAAAGCAGAACATAATAAAATGAAATAGAGATGTAACATTGGAGAGGTAGCTTATCTGTATCCTCTTCTTTGAGATATGGTTGAATGTCACTCATACCCAAGCAAAGTTAGTCAGATAATTTATGTCTTGGTGCAAGAGACACAGTATCAAAGGCATGGCAGACAGCTCTGTCCTGGGCGCATGTAGCTTGGAAACAGCTGATGGAAGTCACTCTCCCACCCAAGAGAGAGTGCTGACACTGCTTGGGAAAGTATTTAAAATGAGTGTAAAGCGTAAACTCTAAAAGATGCACATGCCTCTCTGTTAATAAAGGCCACCATCTCTTTTTACCCTCCTGACTGAAATAACTGTGAGGCTGATTTCACTGAGAAACAAAGAATGGAGAAAGATTTGGAAGGTACTACCAAATATATGAAAACTATCTCCCCTGGCAAGGAGCACCAAGACCCTGATGGGAAGAAACTTTGTGCAGTTTCAAAAGCATTCAGCAAATAAATCCAAGTGGAAAATCCTTCATTTGTTGACATAACATGGGTATGACAATGAAGGCCATTTCAAACAAGCTGATCAGAACATCCTGTCCTATAAGTCATTATCACACGTCAGCACACTTGCTGCATGTGCCTGCTGAAATCTCCACTGTTGTTTATCAGGGTATCACCAGCCAGAATAAACAGGTAAACTGTAATCCAGAGAGCCATTGCCTACTGCTGAGTAAAGGCAAGCTCAGCACTAGGAGGCTGTGGCACTGAAATCAGTGTTTTAGGGAACTGTACCAAAAGCTCAGGTGTAGTAGAGAAAAAACTGCCTTAGGCCATGGAAGAATAACCACAGTGATATATTGTCTTACCTACTGGAAGACTACAGTCATGAAAGAAACTTCTGTGAACAAACACTCCTCTAACTGACAAACCAAGAAAGTAACAAGAACTGTAGAGATGAATGAGCTCCAGGGCAGGAAGACTGATTCTTGCAGTGGATATTGAAGTCATAGGAGACAACCTCTGGCAGGTGGCACAGGATATTCACCAAGCTGATTCAGTGGGCATCTTTAAAAGACATAATTTATCATTACATATCAAAGAAATGTCTATAAATTAATGACAGGCTGAGGGGACATGGTCTACACAAGGAACAAGTCAATTTTAAGTCCAGTCTTCTCTCACTAGCATGTAAGAATATGGAAAATTAGGTTGCAAAATTTAATACACCAAATAGATGAAAATGTCAGTATTCACTTTCATATTTCTTTTTTCTTAGCTGTAAAATAGGGATAGTAAATTTAACAATACAGCTTGCATGATTCATTAGGCTTCATTAACATTTCCGCAGATTGTATTTTTTAGCTACTGAGCGATATTATTTTTATCTCTCTCCCTCTGATAAATGGATTTAAAAAGATTTTTCAGCATATTTCGTATCACATTGGCATTTTTTTTCTTAAACTCAGACATTCAGGAACTGGTTCTTGAAAGCCCTGTATAATATCTGAGTTGATAAAGTATCTTGAGACTCCTCTAGGACAGTTCCAAGTGTTTTATGCATACATTACAATTAACATTCTTTGGTTTAAATTACAATAAAACCCCAAATCCTGCACTTCAGCTGAGAACCACAAATACATTTGTCCAGATAATCTTGAGGGGTCTGCAATTTATGAGTCTAAATTCACATTCACTAGAAACTGTATGTAAGGAACATTATTAATGTTGCAAAAGCAAATATTTGAAAGTTAAGTATGAGAATTAGAACCAATTGTGGAATATCTTGCTTCCTGTTGACTTAACATTAATGTCTAGATACAAAAGTAGGACTTTTGCAGTAGTCACTTAGAAGTTACTTTACAGGGCTTGCTCACCTGAATATTACAGTACCTTCACGTATCAGCACAGATTTTTCAATTATTTGTGAACACTTCTGCTTAATTCAACACACCCCCACCCCCATCAATGCCATGACAAGCCCACTGTATGCCCTATAGATGCCTTTTCTCAAATAATTGAGTTTATTATTCTCTTGCCAAAATGAATAGATTTATAGAATTTATGCAGTGGAGTTTCCTTTTGCACACAATAATATTTTAAACTATGTGGACAATTTTAGGGTTTTAAATCACCAGAAGAACAACTAAAAACTCTTTATGATACCACAAAATGACTGTATTGTGCTCTGGCTGTAAAAAGCTGATTTGAAAATTACAGCTGAGGTTTTACCTTGGTTCGGTTTTTTTTTCTTTTCATTTGTGTTTTCAGGCTAGTTTGAGATGGATTTTCACCGTGACATAACAAGCAGTGACAGTGGTTGAATAGAACATTTCTTTACAATGAAAGTTTATATCTTTCAGTTTTGGCTAATTTTGAACTCAAGGAAGTTCCTTAGCAAGATAAAAATCACAATAATTTTTTTTAAAACAAGTAAAAAATATTATATATAAACATTTTATTAAATATTTTTAACTCCTTTTCCCTGCTTTCTTTGCAAATTTTTATCTAGTAAAAGCGCTT